ATGTTTTTCGCTTAAGAAATAATTTTTGTGATATTATGTCGATTTTTCTCTTAGTGTAGGATCTAAAATAAAAGAATCACCTAAATGGGGATATGATGGCTTCTATACCTTCAAGATTGTTTTAATTATCAGAAAAAAATTATTTGACGTAAAAATAACAAAACAAGAATAATTAAATGGTAAAATAGTTGAATGCAGCCGAAACGCCTAATTTCTGGAGGACTCGCCAATATTTTTCTTGCTTATTAAATGTTGATCAGTAGAAAAAATAATTGATCACATGATTATACACGAGTAGGATTATTGAAAGGTGAAATCAGTAGCGAAATGGTCAAACGGTTTAAGTCGATTTGGACTACTCATGAGTTTTCAATGAATATCTCACAATCTAAGGCAGATAACAAAATTTTTGTAATGACCTTTTCGGTAGAGCACATTAAGAACTTCAAAAAAGATATATACAAAAATTTCGCTATCTCCCTTAGATTTTGAGATATTCTTCGAAAACTCAGCTAAGAACTATGTTAACCCGTTTGACCGCTTCGCTACTGAAATAATCAGTAGGGGAGGATAGGGTAAAACGGACACTTTTGACTTTTTTTGAAATATTTATGATGTGTTGAATTGTTGATGAAATGGAATAATTTTATTTTTCAATTGATAAATCTGTTTCTGAGTTATGAATATTTTAAAAAAAGTCAAAAGTGTCCATTTTACCCTACCTTCCCCTACGATTTTCATTTTATTTATGAAATATTCAATGCAAGTCGAAATCGTCCAGAACTAACCCCCGTCCAGAAATTGGTCTGTTCACCCTATAGTTCACTACTACAACTTCTTGACTGTCACATAAAAAAAAATCTCCGTATGTGTATTCCCAAGTCACATCACCCGACTTTGGTGGGAAGACGTCAGGGCAGGTGGTTGAAAGCCTGAGGTATATTTAATAATTCAAGTTCTGCCTCGTGCCTTGGCACCCAGCTGTCGAGCAACAGCTGCATCGAATTTGGGGGGCGGGGGGTGAACAGGGGATGCAGTTGAGAGTCAACGGCTGCCGTCAGATCCGCGCTTCAACAATAAAACTTTAACGAGACTCAACCGGAGAACCAGAGCCCTGAGCAAGAGGAATAAAAGAGAAAAAATAGATGGAAGAGATAAAACAACAGAGAACAGAAAAATTCAACAGAGGAATTCAGGGAGTGTTGGTAAACCCTTGGGCTTTCTGGATCTCCTCGAGATGGGAATGATGATTCTCACATCTAGGGCACGTGCCTGAGGGCCTCCATTGTTTTTTCTCGCCGACTTTACGAAGCCAACGGTATTTTCACGGTTGACTGTAACGTCAAAGCCAGTCAATACGAAAAGGAAAAAAATTATTGAGACTTGGGTATTGTGTATTATTATTCACTAACATTTATTCAATGATGCAACGGCTTCTTTTGTTGTTTTTCTTTTGCATTCGTCTGTGGTTTTTACGCTCTGTTTATTTCTGTGGCAAGAAAAATTATTTATTCAATAGTTTTCAAGTCTCAAATTCAAAATAATTTCATGCGAAAACTACTTGATTTGGTTGAATGAAGTTTTGATGAAGAAGAATCAAATATTCCATTGATTTTCTGTCCTAATGATCTGAAAATCAATGAAATACTCAATTTTTCAATTCAATTCATGGGAAAATTGAAAATTCATGTCATTTTGGTTCTGAATATTCATGTCTCAGTGAAAATTCAACCAATTTGTGAAATTTCCATCTCACTCCCACTGAAAACTCATGAATTTCCGTGAATTCTAGCTCGAACTTCACATTTCATAATTAATTAATTATAATTAATTATGCATACATTGATAGTATTAAAATTTAAATACTATATTTTTAAAATTAATTATCAATCATTTAGTAAGAAATTTTATCATTTATTATTAATCAATTAATAATTGTTAATTAATTAATTACTATCATATTTTAATCTCTTGCCAAAAGGTTTCAGCATCAAAATAGCGGACGAAACAACAAGATTGAATCATCCAGTCAAAATTGAAATAAAATACAGAAATAGCATTAAGTAGATTGAAACCGTATGACTTTCAGCGCGGGAACCCGTAGCATCCGTCTTCTCCTTCAAGTGATGACTAAATCCCACACACATAACGTAAAATTCATTCTACGACGGCACTTGCGGAAAAAAAGTGTGCATCGTGACGTTGAACGGATGAAGCAAGATAAATACGATAAAGTACGATTATCCTTATCGCGGGGTTTTCAACCGCCTATTAGTTGACGTCACTTACACCAGTGTGAACTCATCAGCTAATTACCGAAATTTATCGCTCGACTGCACATACTCATACGTTCCCACACCTTTATTTTTTTTAGTCAGAGACAAAATTTTAAGATGATTTTTTTTTCTTTCGTGAAAACCGCCGTCAAAAAATATATTTAAAAAATATATAATATGGGCCAATTCCATATATTTTTAATAGATTTTTTAAAATATAAATTTTTCCTTGTGGGAAGCTGAAGAGTTTTTTTTTTCTTTTTCTCTCAGTGTGAACTCATCAGCTAATTACCGAAATTTATCGCTCGACTGCACATGCTCATACCTTCTCACAACTTCATTTTTTTTTAGTCAGAGACAAAATTTTAAGATGATTTTTTTTTCTTTCGTGAAAACCGCCGTCAAAAAATATATTTAAAAAATATATAATATGGGCCAATTCCATATATTTTTCAAATTTAGAAAGAATATATAAAAAAAGTACATAACCATATATTTAATTTTTTTAATATTATTGGGCCAATTTAAGATATTTTTAATAGATTTTTTAAAATATAAATTTTTCCTTGTGGGAAGCTGAAGAGTTTTTTTTTTCTTTTTCTCTCAGTGTGAACTCATCAGCTAATTACCGAAATTTATCGCTCGACTGCACATGCTCATACCTTCTCACAACTTCATTTTTTTTTAGTCAGAGACAAAATTTTAAGATGATTTTTTTTTCTTTCGTGAAAACCGCCGTCAAAAAATATATTTAAAAAATATATAATATGGGCCAATTCCATATATTTTTCAAATTTAGAAAGAATATATAAAAAAAGTACATAACCATATATTTAATTTTTTTAATATTATTGGGCCAATTTAAGATATTTTTAATAGATTTTTTAAAATATAAATTTTTCCTTGTGGGAAGCTGAAGAGTTTTTTTTTTCTTTTTCTCTCAGTGTGAACTCATCAGCTAATTACCGAAATTTATCGCTCGACTGCACATGCTCATACGTTCCCACACCTTTATTTTTTTTTAGTTAGAGACAAAATATTAAGATGATTTTTTTTTCTTTCGAGAAAACCCCCGTCAAAATAGTATATTTCGTCACTAGGCCGAAAGAAACTTTTCTGGCGAATATGAGTTTGCAGCCCGAGCCGAAGGCGAGGGCTGCAATCATATGAGCTAGAAAAGTTTTTTTTGGCCATATGACGAACAGTATTTTTTGTTATGACGGCCGTAGGCAGAGATTCGCGGACGCGGAGCGGAGCGTCCGTGAAGCGCTGCCTCACGGCCGGAATGACAAAAAATATATTTAAAAAATATATAATATGGGCCAATTTCATATATTTTTCAAATTTATAAAGAATATATAAAAAATGTACATAAACCATATATTTAATTTTTTTAATATTATTGGGCCAATTTAAGATATTTTTAATAGATTTTTAAAAATATAAATTTTTCCTGTTGGGAAGCTGAAGAGTTTTTTTTTCTCTTTCGATCATTGGGCAATGATTAATTACTTTTTGCGGAATGATGACAAGTGGGAAATTGCTTTTGTATTAACATGGTGTAGTTTTTTGCTGCTAAATTATCAATATGCTTGCGAATGGGCGTTTTCCATTTTGCACGTCATCCGCTTCTATAGCATACAATTCAATTCTGGGAAGGATAATCGTTCCCAGAATTCATCGTTTCATATCATTTGATTAAATTCAATGAATTTTGTTTTTTAATCAACTGTGTTATATTTTTAATTTAGTTCATTATTTGATGAAATTTCAAATATGAAATAATATATATCTATGGACCATCCATTTATGCGGTGAGCGGGACGTCGATCGTTTTAATGATGATTAAATCAATCTTAACTTCAATTTTTTTCATTCAAATAATAGGTGGAAGTAAATTTTTCAGAAGATGGAAAATCAACAAACTTTTAACTGCTGTGGTAATAATTTCCGAAAATCTTTCGTAAATCCAATGGAAGAATGATGGTATCTGTATTGTGGAATGAATTTGAAATATCATATTTAAAGGAATCATGTCAGACGGTTCACTTTCAAAGCAATTAACGAAAAGTTCTACATTTACAAAAATCATCATAAAAATCAAACCATCGAATGTAGGTACAGGACCGATCTTTTAACTTCGACAGAGTGGCTTTGAAATTAATATTTTCAGCTGTCATTTAATGAATTCAGAACATTTTTTTCAGTTATGGCGGGACAACCGATTTTTTTAAATTCCAAAATCCAAAAATATAGTATATAAATGAAATTATAATTAATGTCGATGGATAGAGCTCAACAGTACCTGCATTTGAAAATAAAAAGACTCAATTCCATCGATTTACTAACGAGCAATTAAAGAAAAACCTTGTCCCACACATATATATACGGACCGGTCCAACAAATGGCATATTCAGATTTTTTATATCATAATAAGTTGACACAACAAAAAAAATTCCGAACTTAAATTTGAACGATTACAATGCTTCCATTCAGAAGCGAAAGACGGAAAGAGCGTCCTCAAGTTTTTATTCTTAAACATTCTTTGGAGAAAATAATTTTTTGTCAAAAGAAAATGTGGAGAATTGAAAATGAGATTATTGCTATGAATGAGTCTCAAAATTCATTAATCAGGAATACAGTCTCCCCCTCTCGTCGATCCCCTTTAAAACGAGAAAACCTGATTATTCATCCAAAACACGTAAAACATATCCTCTAACTCACCTCGATAATTATTGAGTCGCAGGCGACTCCAAAACGGACGGTGAAAGTTGTCTCTTCCAAGTACGAATGAAATATTTCATTAATTAAATCAATTCCATGAGTAGAAATCGCCCATTATTTCGCGATTGAAACACACCCGGTGTCCTAATTGACGCACAATCACACTCCACTGGCGGTTAATTTTGCTGGAGGGATCTTCCCAGAATTTCAAACCGTGGATTGACTCGTCGAGAGCCGAACGACGTCTGGGATGTGTGTTGTGATCACACATAGCGCGAACCCACCCCGGTTGCTATGGTAGTGATCGCGGGTGGGGAAGTAGTAGAGGAAGGGAGGAAGTGGTCACGGTCCCCAGTGATCCGACACGAGAGAGGGTCCATTTGACCCCGTAAATATTCAAAAGTTGACGTTTAAGGTATATCCCTAGAAAACACATGTCTCATATTCACATTATTTTGCGTCTGGTCAGAGAAGACGAGAGAGTTCTCGCTGTCTAGTTGAGTTAACGAGGATACTCTTTGAGATTAATTGTTCGAGTTGTTATCGAGTCGGTTTCTATTTATTTTTTGGGGGTTTAATGATGAGGAAGTTGAGAGAATGGTGATGTTGGCCTGTGGTAATGTTGATTTTCTGATGATCTATTTGGAATTTTTAGACTGATTAAAGTAGCTCTACCCGTCCGGTAAATTTAAAGATTATTGAAACCTGCAATAGAATTGCAGAAAACTCGATTAGATTCGGAATTCTATTTTTTTTTCAATTTAATTATCGTTTGGGTTTTTCAAAGAAGAAATGTTTAAAAATCAGGATTTGACCCAGTGTCTTATGTGAAAATCAACATTTCCATTGTAATCAAAGATTACAATCTGATTTTTTTTTTCATTAGATGTGAAAAAATCAAGAATTGTTTTGACATCTCATAAAAAATAATCCACCGTTTTGCAAACAAATTTTCTTATTTATTTATAAGAGGGAAATGTTTGAAAAAATATCAACATTTTGCGAAATTTAATTTAGATAATACTGACTGGGTATGAATTTTTTCAAATTTTTTCCATGCAATTTAGTTGAAAACCCTTTTCGCCAAAATTCACGTTTTTTGAATTTTTCTGGTAAATTGTTGACCGGATTGACGTGAAAAAATATAACGTTTTTGCGTTTTATCATCACTTAAAGTAGCTCTACCTTTACGGTAAATTCAACGATCATTGAAACCTGCAAAAAAATTGCAGAAAACTCGATTAGATTCGGAATTCTATTTTTTTTCTCAATTTAATTATCGTTTGGGTTTTTCAAAGAAGAAATGTTTAAAAAGGATTTGACCCAGTGTCTTATGTGCAAATCAACATTTCCATTGTAATCAAAGATTAAAATCTGATTCTTTTTTCATTAGATGTGAAAAAATCAAGAATTGTTTTGACACCTCATAAAAAATAATCCACCGTTTGGCTAAAACTTTTCGGAAATTCACAAAACTTTAGAAAAAATGCAGGAAAATAATTGCACTACCATGAATCTTCGTGAGTCAGTCAATAATGATAAAACGCAAAAACGATATGTTATTTCGCGTCAATCCGATCAATAATTTGCCACAAAAATGAAAAAAACGTGAATTTTGGCCGAAAGGGTGTAGTACATCTTCACTAGGCCTTGGGACCCATTGAACAGTTTGTGATATATGACGGAATATGGAAATACCAGGGAAAATCGCGAACTCGAAAAAATGTCATTTTTTCCTGTTTTTACCGTCAAAATGCTCTTTTCGCCGGAGTTTTCATAGGATTTTAGATTGTTTTTTTTACTGTTCTTTACACTCTGAAGAACAAAGTTAAGCATCCGTTTAGCTTCATTCGCAATCGATCATGAATAAAGCAGTAGCAAAGAGGTAAAACGGTTCAAGTCAATTTTGACTATTCACTGTTGAAAGTTTTCGTCCGAATTTTCCGTGCCAAATTTCGGAAATTTTTATCGTGTTCAAGTTCCACTGAAGTTTCAGGAAATCTTGTCATTGAAAAATCAAACAGTCCATTGATTTTCTGTTCAAATTATCTAGAAATCAATAAAATATTTAATGCTTCAGTTCAATTATTCTGTGAAAATTTAAAAAAAATCAAAAAAATAATTCTATCACTATTAAATAGCATGTTTACTTTTGAAGGAAGTTTGATGGAATAATTAAGAAATTGCAATTTTTTACAATTACTAGCATTTTCTATAAATAATTTGTAAACAATCAATTTTCCACGTAAAAATCATTTGTTTGGAATTTTTCCAGTAATTTATTTTGTCTGAAAAAATGAAGTTTCCGAAAGTTTAAACAACTTCAATTATTTATTTATAAAAGTGTAATTTGAAGCTTCAGTCTACCAAGAAATTGTCCCATCTCCTTGTCACTCATAAAGTTAAAAAAATATCACTTGCCATTTTATTTTCAAATTACTCATTAACGAGATAATTTAATATTTCATAATATCAAGACGTGGAAAAGCGAATTCGCTCGGAAATTCTGTTGGAATTCTACGCGGATTTTGCCATGCAAAACCAGACAAAATCCAGCGGAAAAAACTTAGAAAATTTGTGCCCAATAATTCTAATACCAAAAATCTAAGAGGAAAATTCAAACAGAAATTTGAAATCTATTGACTTTTTCTTATTGAATTTTCTAGCGAATTCGTTAGGTTTTCTATTGAATTTTTTTATGCGTTTCATGAAAAAAAGAGGATTGGTTGAATGTTTTTCAAGGATTGGGAAAGGTTTTCCTGGGTTGAATAAACAATAACAGCTCTTGTGTTGTGTATCAAAGCATGTTTATTCATTTCTGTTCGGCAATTGTTCCACTGATTAATTATCCATTCATCAATATATTCACTCGCCGACTCCATAATACTTGATTCCATCCTCAACATGATTATTATTTGTATGTAATTGACACACGTCTGAGGTTGTACGTTGATATGAGTTGTGTTTATAATTAATTGTCTATTGGTTCCATTTTTTATGGAGCTCCTTGAGGTGTGCATAGGCACGACTGGAGATGTTGAGGGCCGCATTCAAGGGTTGGAGCCCGGGTTCTCCCAGGAGACTGAGCCCCGAGAGACCTGCAATGCAAAGAGAAACATTCGTTTCTCATCAATTCCTCAATTATAAGTCATGGAGACGTGAGTGAAAAGTCACATCACTTGTTATAAAATGTCTCAATTTTTCACGCTGCAGGTTTACTGACTTCACAACTAAAAAAATTTCATAGAAAAACCGAGGACATTCGACAACAAATTCCCTTGGATTTATATTCAACTTCTATTGCAAATTCTTTTAGTTTTTGGCCGCACTTTACTGTGAGTTTTTTTAATTGAAAATGTCCTATAGGAACTGTGTTATAAAAACAATCAGTAGAGTTTCATCTCTCCATACAACTTTTTCTATGGAGACATTTTCTATAGGAATCCATCGACATGAATTTTCTAATTCAGTACTGCAGTGGTCAATCGGTTTAAGTCGACTTAGCTCCCAGTTGAGTTTTTGTTGAATAACTCGGAATTTAAGAAAGCGAAATTTTTGCGAGATCTTTTTCGATCGTCTTCACTTTTCTTTACAAAAAAGATTTTCAGGACAATTTTGCTAACTCCTTTAGAACTTTAAATATTCATCGAGAACTAGCGCTAGAGTGGAGTTAACTTAAACCGTTTGACCACTTCACTGCTGAATTTTTTTCCCTTCTGTTTTTCTTATTTTCATAAAAAAAATCAAAGGAAAAATCTTCGAACATTTGCGTCGAGGAATTCCTGCAGAAAATTCTACTGATCTTTCAATAGAATACTCTCCATTGAACATTTCTATTGATGATAGCTTAGTAAATTCCGAATACGATAAATTTTTTGTAAAATTTTGTACTACATAGTTTTAAAAAATTAAGTAGCAAATAATTTCGTATTTGATTCAAACAGTTGTTATTGCCTGCAACAACAACACATGAGAGTCGAATAACTCAATAACTTATGAGAATGAAATGAATGAAGTTATTTAGAATTTTTTTCGGAAATCCATGTCAGTAGCGAAGTGGTAAAAGGAGATGAGTTAATTTTGACTATTGCCCAGACTTCAATCAATATCTCGGAATCTAAGGGAGATGGCGAAATTTTTGTTATAATCTTTTTTGTGGAGCCGATTGAGTGCTACAACAAATGTAATTACAAAAATTTCGCTATCTCCCTTAGATTCACGCATGAAAAAATTTAATAGAACAATCTGTCGAATTCGTTAGAAAATTCGATTGAATTTCTATTAAACTTTCTATTAGTTTTTGGTTGATTCTATTGACATGTTCAATAGAAAACATCCAATAGAAAAAGTCAACAGAATTCGATTTTTCTATATAACTTATTCTTTTCATATATTTTATATAGAATTTGCTCGACTCCAATTTTCTACGTTTTTTTCATTCTATTTTTCTGTTCTTCTCACTAAGAAAATCAAACGAAAAAACTTAGAAAATTTGAGCCGAGGAAATTCTATAGAAAATATCTCAATAGAATAAGTTATATAGAAAAATTGAATTCTATTGACTTTTTCTACTGAATATTTTCTATTGAACATTCCAACAGAATCGGCCAAAAACGAATAAAACAGTTCAATAGAAATTCAATAAAATTTTCTAACGAATTCGATAGGTTTTTCTATTAAATTTTTTCGTCCGTGTTCCGAGATATTGATTGAAAACTGGTCAATAGTCAAAATTGACTTATCTCCTTTTACCACTTCGCTACTGATATGGACTAGCTTTGGGCCCGATCGTCTTGGGATATCCCTTAAAGTGGAAAAAATATCGTGTGACGTAATATTTGCATGGCCCCTCACCTAAATAAGTATGAAGTGGATCAGCCCTCGTGTCATAATATTTGGCGAATCCACCGATTCTAGTGTCCTGAGTGCTCAGCACAAACTCCCGATTCTTTTCAGCGTCCGAAAACTGCTGCACATCGAGCATTTGCAGCGTAGCACCAATCCAGAAGCTGTAGCAAGTGTCGGTAGGCTTGCCAGGCCTTCCTTGGAAGCCATCACTCTGTCTCATGAGACACCACCGTCTCAACCTCTCCAACTGCTCCAGACTCAGGGCTCCGTGGAGTTCATTCATCAGGAGGAGACTTGCAACTGCGCAGAAGGTGGAGCCTCCGTGGGACTCCAGGCCCGGACCTTGTCCCATTGCGCCGTCGTACGACTGCAATTATTCTGATGAGAGAATTACGATATTAAACTCCTAAATATTTTGGCTAATGCCAAACAGAAAGTGGATTTATGAAGATTACTTCAAAGAAAAAGACCTATTCTTCGCGTCTACACTGAGAGAAAAACAAACATGTTGTCAAACAAGTCTTGTTTGGGCCAACAAAATCGCTAGTTGACAATTGCCAAAAAAGAATTTGTTTGGTTAGAATTTGAAAGTCTCAAATATGAATAATTGTTCTGCTTTCGACAGCAACGAAATATTTGCCTCAAGAGGCGGATAATTCACACCAGACGTTGCCTTTTCAGAATGAAAATATCTCATACAGAGGAAAATTTATCAACAAATATTTTATCCCTAAGTTACAAGATTGCTATCATATCATTATTATTGTTTCATTTAAGGGTTCATTTCTTGTCAATGAAAAAACTTAGAAAATTTGAGCCGAGGAAATTCTACAGAAAATATCTCAATAGAATAAGTTATATAGAAAAATTGAATTCTATTGACTTTTTCTACTGAATATTTTCTATTGAACATTCCAATAGAATCGGCCAAAAACTAAAGAACAGTTCAATAGAAATTCAATAAAATTTTCTAACGAATTCGATAAGTTTTTCTATTAAATTTTTTCGTCCGTGTTCGTTGCGCCGTCATACGACTGCAATTATTCTGATGAGAGAATTACGATATTAAACGCCTAAATATTTTGGCTAATGCCAAACAGAAAGTGGATTTATGAAGAGTACTTCAAAGAAAAATACCTATTCTTCGCGTCTACATTGAGAGAAAAACAAACACGTTGTCAAACAAGTCTTGTTTGGTTAGAATTTGAAAGTCTCAAATATGAATAATTGTTCTGCTTTCGACAGCAACGAAATATTTGCCTCAAGAGGTGGATAATTCACACCAGACGTTGCCTTTTCAGAATGAAAATATCTCATACAGAGGAAAATTTATCAACAAATATTTTATCCCTAAGTTACAAGATTGCTATCATATCATTATTATTGTTTCATTTAAGGGTTCATTTCTTGTCAATGAAAAAACTTAGAAAATTTGAGCCGAGGAAATTCTACAGAAAATATCTCAATAGAATAAGTTATATAGAAAAATTGAATTCTATTGACTTTTTCTACTGAATATTTTCTATTGAACATTCCAATAGAATCGGCCAAAAACTAAAGAACAGTTCAATAGAAATTCAATAAAATTTTCTAACGAATTCGATAAGTTTTTCTATTAAATTTTTTCGTCCGTGTTCGTTGCGCCGTCATACGACTGCAATTATTCTGATGAGAGAATTACGATATTAAACGCCTAAATATTTTGGCTAATGCCAAACAGAAAGTGGATTTATGAAGAGTACTTCAAAGAAAAATACCTATTCTTCGCGTCTACATTGAGAGAAAAACAAACACGTTGTCAAACAAGTCTTGTTTGGTTAGAATTTGAAAGTCTCAAATATGAATAATTGTTCTGCTTCCGACAGCAACGAAATTTTTGGCTCAAGAGGCGGATAATTCACACCAGACGGTGCCTTTTCAGAATGAGGAAAATTTATCAACAAATATTTTATCCCTAAATTACAAGATTGCTATCATATCATTATTATTGTTTCATTTAAGGGTTCATTTCTTGTCTGTGATTATTAAACAGCCGAAACGAAAAACTGCAATCCTTTAGAAAACCTTTAGAAAACATTTTAAAAATCCGAAAAAAATTAGTTGATGAAATAATTTAAAAATTGGATTTTTTAAAATTACGATTTTCTCTAAATAATTAATGAACAATCAATTTTTCACCATAAAAATCATTTGTTCGGAATCGCAACAAATTTATTAATATTCAGAATTTCACCAGAAGTCGATGAGGTTTCCGAAAGTTTAAACCATTTTAATTATTTATTTATAAATAACGAATGTTCAAAGAAACAATAATACTGTGCAAAATGTAATTTGAATGACACTGAATATTCATAATTATTTCCAAATTTTTCTCACGCAATTTAATTGATAAATTTGCTGATTGACAATGGTTGAATCTAAAGTGTGATGCGTACCAAACTGTAAAAGCTACTTGGTTATCCATAAACCTCTACTGAACGAACTTCGTATCAGTATTGAATAAAAACTTGACCTCCCTCCATCTATAAATAATAAAAATGAATAATTTCAATACTTACAATGCTCTTGACGATATAATCAATAGCCCTGTCTTTATCCAATCCACTCCAGTCGTCCAAAATAGCGCAGATACAGCAGGCACAGTAGAGAAACCTCATGTCGCTCTCGGAGCCAGTGATCATGGCGATGAAGCAGCCATCGGGGTTCTGGCAACTCCTCATACCCTCGACGATGGACTTTTTGTCGACCCTCGACAGATCGTCGCCAAGTGCCAGCAATGTGGCGAGGGCAGTGTAAGTCATCGACAAATGGCCACAGAGATAGTCTGGAGTTTGATCTGGAAGCATTGTGGAGGCCTGGAAGCCCGACATGGCCCCCGCCCCCTTCACCTGAAGCCTGTAGATCCACTCCACTGCTCCCAGGCGCTCCTCCTCCTTGAGAATGTCCAGGCAGTTCAGGAGATCGAGGCCTGAAATCGCGAAGAAGCCGAACATCATGCGGTTCGAGTCGTACGAGGCCATTTGCGAGGGCATGATCTGGATTATTCGCTTGAAGTACTGGGCGTGACGAAATTTGTTGAGCTCCTCTGCTGGTTTTCTTGGTAAATCCATTGTGCGAGGATGTTGAGGAGAGGGTGACAATTATCCCTGCAATTATGTGAATTATTTGGTGAGTGGCAGTGATATGCATATTCATCAGTGCATATTCATCAATCATAATTACCGTTAAATTGTGACACAGTTGTCAATTTTTAACATGAATGTTGAAATTTTAAATATTAAATTAACCGTCAATTTGTAGATTCAAATTTTGAAATCATCTGTTAACCAATAATTTAGGTAGGAAGATTGACGATTATTTGGATAATCGAAAGTCAAGTACCTAAATTTAGAATTAGCTTGATAACTAAAAATTACATTTCAATATTATCACATATTTTATTCACCATCAATCGGCAAAATTTAGTTATTAAATTTTATAATATTTTAAAATTGGTTGAATATAGTTAAACTTTGAACAATATAAGGAGATAATCCGACTTAATATTGTCAAAATTTAATGCTACTGGCCGTCACTGGTGAGTGGTGAGCAGCCTTGGGCGAGTTAAATACGACTGCACTGAGAGAAAAATGCAGTAAATTAGTGATACATGCAGATATATTGGCGATACCGAATATGTCGACACTTCCAGTCGATTCTCCACATTTTCTTGTGACAACAAATTTTTTTCTCCAAAAAATTTTTAAGAATAAAAACTTAAGGACAGCGTTTCCGTTTTTCGCTTCCGAAGGGAAGCATTGTAATCGTTCAAATTTAAGTTTCAAATTTTTTGTGTTATAGCAACTTAATTATTATGATCTAAAAAGTCTGAATATGCAATTTTTAGCGAAGTGGTAAAACGGTTTGAATCGACTTATCTCTTAGTTGAGTTTTTGAGGAATATTTCTGAATCTAAGGGAGATAGCGAAATTTTCGTAATGACATTCGTTGTAGCTCTCAATCAGCTCTACAAAAAAGGTTATAACGAAAATTTTGCTATCTTCCTTAGATTCCGAGATATGCATTGAAAACTGGTCAATAGGGAAAATTGACTTGTACCGTTTTACCACTTCGCTACTGAATTGTTCGTTAATAAATCGATGGAATTAAATCCTTTTATTTTCAAATGTAGGTATTGTTGAGCCCTATCCATCGACATGAATCAAAATTTCATCCACATATTATATTTCTGAATTTTGGAATTGAAAAAAATTGGTTGTCCCACCATAACTGAAAAAAAATGTTCTGAGTTCATTGAATGATGGTTTAAAAAATTCTTTGGTTGTTTATTGGCCGAGTTCGAAGACGAAGGCAGTAGCTGTAATCGTTGTTTTGATTTTTAGAATCATTTTCAAAAATTTGGTGTTTTACAAAAATAACAATTCCGAGTTTATATTTGAATGTCATGCTCTAAATTCATTGAATGATAGCTGGAAACATTAGTTTCAAAGCCACTTTATTGAAATTGAAAGATTGCTCCTATACCTACATTCGTTGGTTTGATTTTCATTAAAAATCAGTGACATTTCCCTGTAAATCAAAACTTTTACTCTCTACGAATTTTGTCACTCCATGACAACTAAAGAAATTGAGAATGGAGAAATAACAGAAAATTGATGTGATCCTTGAAAGGATTTTTAATTAATGCTGAGGGTTTACCTTGTGTACGTGTTGTTTCTCGTATTTTTTGGAGCGACTTGTGTGGGTCGAAACTTTGGTGATTGATCTCTCCCTCCAGATTCTTTATAATTACCCCAGACCAGTCGTGTCACCGGAATGTTGATTGAATCATGGTTCAGACCCCTGTACTCTGCGTCGTTTTAATTAAAATGAGAATTTCTCCCTGTCGTGATGAGATTGGGGCAAACGAGCCGGTCAATGACGTTGAAATAAAAATGAGATAAATAATAGAGTTGGAGGCACTCTATTGGTACAAAATTCCCTAGCTCCGTTAACTAGGGACTTGATTCAGTTGAGTGTTGAGAGACTGGAGTTTAGGGATAAAAGGGAGACCCCCTAAAACGAGGGAAAATTTAATTAATTAGAAAATATAGGAATTCCCAGTGATTCGGATCATTATTTTAATAATATTATTATAATTGTAATTTATAATAATTATTAATATTATTATATTATTAATAATATAATAATAATATTATATAATTATATTATTAAATTTATATTATTTAATTATTAATTATATAATATTATTATTATATTATTAATAATTAATAATAAAATAAAATTATTCATATCGAAAAATGAATAATTGGTGCAAAAAAAATGATTGTCTATTAAAATTTCTGAAAAATGTTTCTGAAACAATCGATATAATAATATTTTAAATATTTTAAGGATAATTTTTCGGCATTTATGAATGGCGCAAATTTTTCTTTTAAACAAAACGAAATTAGCAGTTAGGAATCGAATTTCAGAGAACTAATTCGTAATTATTATTGCACACATTTCAAAAATTTTAAAGAAAAAAAAACTCTAGCTCAAAAATTGAAGGCCCCGGACTTAATTTTTCTGCACTAATTATTTGTTTTTAGACATATCCAATCGATCTTCAATGAATGAGAAATCTGACTCCAATCGCCCATGACAATTAAAACTCATAGTAGTCTCTCCTTAAAACCTTTAATAAGTTTCATTCAGCACGAAACGACAGAAAATAAGTCTGAATGAAATAGTCTCCGAAATGTTGGAAAAAATGTAGAATTATTATTTATGAAGGAAAATTGAGGAATAATTAGGCTTTCAATGTTTTCTCATATTGTAAAATTTATTGTGAGTGAGTATTCTTCACAATTACACTCGATTTTGGCTTCTCAATACTGATTAAATACGGTGCTCTAACGAAGCTGTTAGATACGCTCTAGAGTGCATAATTCATCTCTAAAAATTTCCATCCAGTAGAATAAGATTTACCCCAAAAAATGGAAATTACGTGTGCCCAAAAAAACTTGTTTCCCTTGCAAACATTTCAAAGTGTTTTCCCAGAGGATTTTGATTATCATTCCCTGCTAGATATTCATTAAATTTGTTTAAAAACATTCTTCACTCGTGAGTATCTTTCGCAATTTTTTAATAAGTAAAATTCAGTGGTGAGTAATTCGAGAAGCAAATGCCTGCAGTTCTTCTCTTCGATTTCCTTCACTTAAAAAAAATTCTCTCAACATTTTCTCCCAAAACCAGAAATTACAATAGTTGTAAAGTGACGATTATTTTGAAAATATTGTCAAAACGATGAGCTCCATTGAAATTTATCAAGAGACCTTTTTGTAGGGAATTCAAAGCAGTGCCTACAACTCGAATTTTGAAGAGTAAAATATGAAATAAATTGCGAATAAAAGTTAATACGAATAAAAACATTCTGATTGAGTTTGTGCTCAATCGGCAGTCTAGTATTATTGATAAGAATTAATCTACAAGTGCAAGAACAACGCAGTCTCATGAGGAACTGAACTTTTCGAGATTAGGGAGAAGATTAAAATAAATAAAAAATCTGAAAGAATCAGAGAAAATAAATAAAAATTCCATGCTCAATATAAAATCCTGATCAGTGTCAGAATTTTGTAATAAATAATTTATGCTTCCGTTTGTCTGAAATGACGTGTTATATGGAAACATTCTAGTCTCTCAAGCGAGACAACTATTGTTTAAAAAAATAATTGAAGAAATAATTCGATGGATCATTGACTACTTTTTCACCAGTGAAATGCTTTTCTACTTTTCTCAAATTTCCGGACATTCTCGAATGATTTTATTATTTAAACTTTGCAGCCATGAATTTCCCACGGAGGCGTTTTGACCCATCATTTATCAATCATCAATCGTTAAATTATCTCGTAAATAAATGGTGTTGGCAAAAAAATGTGAAGAGCAACGAAAAAAGTCTTCCGACTGTTCCCCTAGACCCACAACTACCACACGCCAAGAAGAAAAAATTTCTTCTACTCTCGCGTCTTTACTCGCACCAAGAAACTTATGCCCGTAAATTTTCAAGTGCAAAATATCTTCTACTCCGAAAAAACTTCCATCAAAAAATTGTGTACTTGTCCCAAACACGAGAACAATATTTCAATGACACGAAAGTGATTTCTCAAACCAAGTCTAGTTGAATTAATTAATTCAATAGTTTTTAGCCTCAAATTAAAAAGTATTTTTCTAAAACCGTTGTTTTTTTCTTCATTGCCGATACGACCAAAATAACTTGTACCTCCAGTCCTCCCCCACTGAATCCCTCGATCCTCTTGTTCTACTCAACACAATGTCATCTACTACACCCCAACTATTAAAATTTGTACAATAGGAAAGGCGCCAGCGCACTTCAAACCTACATCTGCATTCACTAGAAATAATCCTACAACGATTCTCAAATATCTATCACAATGTCCCCAAGTGTCTCCCCCTCAATCTAAAGTAAGTAAAATCGTAATTAAGCACTGTCTCATTACTCGTCACTTAATAAATAATTTATATCTTTGTATCCTCAATTCTCTCATTTTTTTTTTGATTCTACTAAGCTAAACTGTGGAACTCTGCAACCTAGAGGCAGCCAGAATTTCCTCCTCGATGTTGACGTCGAGGAGTATGTCCATGCCCTTGATCCCTTGCTCGCTGTACTTGTGGAATATTGGAATTGCTGTCTGCCAGATACATCTATTTCTTTTTATGGATTCAACGAGGCAATTGGCAACTGGAAATAATGCTGATAAATGCGTAAATAATGGCAAGACTAAATTCGTGATGAATTGGACCTGGAGATCGGGTATTGAGGCTTTCTCACGGTCCATCATCTCTATTGGTGCTGTTCCCATGCTTTTTTCCAAGTCTCCTTGGGAGAAAAACTCGTCATAAATTTGTTCCTGAAAAAAAAATAATGAAAATTCAACACAAAGCATAGCATAGCATTTTATTATCCTCATAACTTGTCAGGATATTAAGGAGGGTCACACCACTTTTTTTAAGCACCAGAATTATTTGATGAAAACTTTCGACGATTTTTTAAAAATTGCTTCTTTATTTAAAAAAAGTGTAGGCATGAAATATCATTTCATTCTTCATTTTCCAATAACGTTCTTTTTTATTTAACAGAAAGCGTTGAGTGATTTCAAATTCCAACCGATTGGTTTTGCGGAGGTCATATGGAATAAACAAAAAAAATTCATTGAAAAATATTGAAAATTATAGAACTAGTGCAAAGCATAGCACAGCATTTTATTATCCTCATAACTTGTCAGGATATTAAGGAGGGTCACACCACTTTTTTTAAGCACCAGAATTATTTGATGAAAACTTTCGACGATTTTTTAAAAATTGCTTCTTTATTTTAAAAAAGTGTAGGCATGAAATATCATTGCATTCTTCATTTTCCAATAACGTTCTTTTTCATTTAACAGAAAGCGTTGAGTGATTTCAAATTCCAACCGATTGGTTTTGCGGAGGTCATATGGAATAAACAAAAAAAATTCATTGAAAAATATTGAAAATTATAGAACTAGTGCAAAGCATAGCACAGCATTTTATTATCCTCGTAACTTGTCAGGATATTAAGGAGGGTCACACCACTTTTTTTAAGCACCAGAATTATTTGATGAAAACTTTCGACGATTTTTTAAAAATTGCTTTTTTATTTAAAAAAAGTGTAGGCATGAAATATCATTTCATTCTTCATTTTCCAATAACGTTCTTTTTCATTTAACAGAAAGCGTTCAGTGATTTCAAATTCCAACCGATTGGTTTTGCGGAGGTCATATGGAATAAACAAAAAAAAAATCATTGAAAATTATTGAAAATTGTAAAACTAGTGGGGATTTTACGCGTCGAAAAAAACGAAAAATGACGATTCGGATAAATATTTTCATCAAAAAAATTTCCCCTCTGCAAGCAAAGTGGGGGATACATAATTCTGGGAATTTTATTCCCCAACAGTAACTGTGGTGTCTTGTACAAAGATTGGACTGTATAAAAAATAATGAAATAAAAAAAAATGATTTTCCACTCACAGCAGTTTTCTTCGAAGTCTTCCAATCCTTAGTCTGATCACTGATATCACAGCACGTCATAAACATGGCATGCAGGAGCTTCTGATGGCCCAGATCATCCCTGTTGAACCCACTCTTCACCATTTCATCCTGCTCATCCATGGTCCTGAAGTGTGATGCCAAGTCAGTAGCTAAAATATTATTTCTCAGGAGATCCAGAGCCTCGCTGTACTCCTCACTGGCAAGATTCTCAAAAATATTACAACCCTCGGTGTTGAGAATGCACATGGACTGTGCTAAATGATGTCTCTCCATTACCGAGCCCTCAGAGCTATACAAACTGGCAAGAACAGTTCCACACTGGGTTTGGAATGAATTATTGGTCCCTCGGTGGTCTATATCGTGACACAGCCCAGACACTAGAAAAACAAGTGCCTGGAGACGTGTGAAGTACTTGTCCTCCACTAAATTCAAATTTTTTATCATTAGATAGGCAAAGTGGGCTACGGAAAAGGCGTGAATCCAGTTGTGATATGGAGCGTCTCTGTATCCTTTTTTCACGTACAGGATAAATCTGGAAGAGAATAAGTGAATGAAAACACTAGAGAGCGGGTTTTGTGGAGAATTTAATGAGCTACGAAAGACGTCCCACGACATTTCTTTATGGAGATTATGGTTCTGCAGATATTGCGGAAATTTTCCCCATGGGATAGGTGAAACTCTCAGAATTTGTGAAAATCCACTGGAGAAAATATCAAGAGACCTTTTTCGTAGATCGTGAAATTTTTTTTGCAATATGGAAAACTTGATTATTTTTATTGCAAAGATACGAATTACAAAGATATTTGCAAGAGAAGTGGCTGTTTGGTAAAAATACAAATATAGTTAGGGATTTATTTTTGATTATTTTGCACATATCTCTGAAATTACTAGATTTAGAATAAAAAAATTCAATACTTTTCTCTAAACCTACTAGTCTCGAAGATATATACCAAGTGAAATGTTTTACCTGAATTGAACTTCATTTGAATTAAAGTAGTATGAGAATAAACATGACGAGGAAAAATAAATTCAAAAAGCTCAAATCAAAAATGATTCACCATTGATAATTTTTCCCGTAAATTATAACGTGAATGAATGTTAAAAATTGATCCATCAACCTCTTTGTTTAATTATTTTATTAAACAATAGTCTTTTTTCAAATGAATGTATGTGTTTACCAACTTAAAATACAAATATTTGTCGAAATGAGTAAAAATATTTCAAATGCAGATGAAAAATCAGAGATTTAATTAATTCAATTGACCATTATAGGTGGATACTATTTTCCCAGTTAAAATTATCCTGTTAACAATAAGAAAAAACTCAATTCACTTTGAATCCATCATAAATTACCTTGCTAATGTTTTTCGTTTTATCTTCCACGACTTTATGAGATCTAGCTCATCAAACATTTTAAGTACATAACATGGTGTGTGCTGATGAGGGATATTTCTCGGGGGAAAATGAAACTTGTCGAAGTCCTTGGGGCTGTGATCATCCCTGCAGTTTAGTAACGCCTGAACTGCCTCCTCTTCCACCTTAAAGAATTATGGACAATCGATTAACTTCAGCCCCTCGAAATTTGTGGGGTTCTTTTTATTATTAGTTGGGGGAGTTTATTACCTGCTGGAGTTAGCAGAGCAGGCGTATGAAAGAGGAAAAAGGAGTTAGTAAATACTCAAGAGGAATCATCTGATTGTTCTGGGTAATTTTGAGCATTTATAAATTTTTCAAGTGGTAAATAACAAGATTTTTTACTTTTTCTAGCATTATCTGTGGAGTTAATACCCCGAGAAAAATATCAGATGACATTTCTCGAAACATGACTATTCAGCAGAATTCAGAACACTTTTCCTTTTCTTTTTAGTTGAGAATCAAAAAACCCTTAAGGATGTTTATCTAAAATCGCAAGTACTTAAAAAAAAATTGACTTCTTCAACTGAGGGATAAAGATATTTCTTCACTTTGATACAATTTTCAATCCACCAACCCATGCGCTTATATGGAACAGAATCATTCAAATATTTCCTCTTTTTTCCCGGGTCCCCCAGATTTTTCTCTGGCCACTGGATTGAGTATGATTTTACCCATTAACTTCTATTTTTATTTCTATTTTTAGAGTCGTCTAGTCGATGAATTATCAATTTGAACATGAATATCACAAAGCCCGTGTATAGGGAAAAATTAGTTTATTCATTTCTGCCGAGACTATTGCGATTAATTTTTTTTAACATTAGAAAAGTCAGTTTTATGTGTTCTGCTGTCAGCCGAAAAAATTACACAATTATCCTTGACCATATAGAAAAAAACATTTACCGACAATTTACAGACACTGACTAAACATCCTTAAGAAAGTCAAACAAGCTCAACCCTCGACTAAAAACACCAAAACCGCGGTCGTTGCCATACAAAAAACGTCTTTTGATATTTCTCTCAGAAACTATGAGTTTCAGATTCGCAAGATAACGCGTGTGAGTGAAGTTTCAAAATTTATCGCCTATTCTCTACCACATTACGGGCACACTCGAATGATTTACCACTCAATCAAACAATTACTGATTAATTTACCTTCATGTGATACATCATCAGTTCGTTGCTGAGTTTACTCCTCGCCTGGGAGTCCTGAATTTTTTTATAAACAATGCTGTGCATTATGGATACTCCACAGTAAATGCTGAATGCCGTTGCAACTTCCTCGTCGCACACGTCAAAATATAATCCATTCATTTTGTTGCATAATTGAGCAACGCCTAATTGAAAAATAATTAAATGAATTATCGTTATAACAGGAATTATCAGTTACTGTTGTAGCACGAGTTACGGATTCATTTGAATTGTGTTAAATATTCATTACCAATAATTCCATTTTCATCACGAATAGGAAAACACAGGATATTCCTCGTTTTGAATCCTGTTGCCTCATCAATTCCACTGTAGAAAAGTGGATGTTCGTAAGCATTTCGAATATTGAGCAAGTTTCCAGAGGTGGCGACGTGGCCGGCTATCCCCTGGCCCAATGCAATTCTCATTTCCTTCAAAATATAAAAAATTGACTAATTAGAAAAAGCGGAGTGCAAAATTTTCAGGCCGAATCGAAATAAAAATAATTCACGAGGAAAGAAGTAAAATGGTTTGAGTACCACAGGAAATCCATACGACTCAATTCGTTTTGCTTCCGAATAAATTTCTGTAATCCCTCCAATTTCATGAATTTTTCCATGAATATAGATTTTAATAAGCTGTATTCATTGACACCAATTAAAAGTCTATTTTTCAGGCAGATTCGAAGAAATTGATATTTTTCCAAAAACATTTTTTCAATGATCACTCAAAATTTTTTTATCAAAATGGAATTAGTCATGGCTCGATAAATTCATAACAATACTTTCATAATTCTATCAAAATATGATGGGGGTCACACAATTCGTTGTTGAGTTTGAAAGAGAATTTGCAAGAGAAAATTGGGTTTGCCACGATTACTGAAAGAATCATGAGTAATATCAATTCAGTAGCAAAGTGGTAAAACGGTTCAAGTCGATTTTAACTATTGGCTAGTTTTTAGTGAATATCTCGGCATCTAAGGGAGATAGCTAAATTTTTGCCTCGACCTTTTTTGTAGCACTCAATTTGCCCTAGAAAAAAGGTTATTACGAAAATTTCATTATCTCCTTTAGATTCGGAGATATTCTTCCAAAACTCAACTAAGAAACAAGTCGACTTAAATCGTTTTACCACTTCGCTACTGAATTAAATTCGGCCAGTTGAAAAATGGTGAGAACAGCAGTATTATTTTTATCAAGTTACACAATACCGCCATGAGCTTTTTATATAAAAATCGATATCCCTATTAAACTCAGGTACTAGTCTATTGTATTGAATATTCATAATGACTTTATTACTCATATTGATTCATAGTTCTGACTCATTCCTGACAGAACGAAATAATACGCAAAATTTTCATGACATTTCAATTGGTGACAGTACTATGACATGAAAAAAATAATAAAAAATAAAAAATAGAAGAGAATAGCGAAATAGGAATAAAAAAAAGAGAACCCATTCGGAAGTATATTACTAATTTACTAGAAAAAAAAACGTTAAACGGAGATTTAAAAAATGACAAGATAAAAACAAGTAAAATTGAAGGAAAAAATTAAAATGAAGACGTTGAGAAGACAAAAAAAAATAGAGAATGTGACAATATGACAGACAATTCTTTTATTCCGAACCAAAAACATTTTTCCTGATCAAAAGATTCTCTGTTCCTGACTTAAGAAATTATGGAGATAAAACGATTGTCAGCCAGACTTCCTCAATGGAAAAATCTCCGGCTATTCTTTCAGTCCGGAGGAAAAATGGAGAACATCACGAGAAAGCGAGGAAAAAGAATTGAGAAAGCAAACCTTTGGAAATTACTCATTTGGGAATACCTCGGAATCTGAGGTACACCAAGGGGAGGTAGATTATTAACGAATAAAGGCTGTTTAATTAAACAATATACTTCGCCTTTGATTACCACGGAAATTGCTTCATTAGGAGAGGAAAAAAATTTTCTACCACGAATAAGATAATTTACTGAATTATAGGTCTTTCCACAAGGGAAATCTCCATCCTGAGAAAAAGTAACATCTGATGAGGAAAATTCTGACAATACTTTTCCACGTTTCATTAAAAAAAATCATTCATCGTTAATAATTTTTCCCGTGAATTCTAACTTTGATGAGTTTAAGAAATTGATCCACCAAATTCAGTCTTCAATTATCTTTTTAAACAAGTCTCTCGATTCACTAGGAAAGTTTGCATTTGTTATAAAAGCCTGACATTTTTTCTCATTTTTCGAGATTTGTTTTAGATTTTATTCTCCTGTTTCACCTCAAAAAGTTCATTTCCTCATAAAACTCTGTTATTTTTACACTTCTGAATTAATTATTATCAAAAATACTAGACTGCTGATTGAGCAAAATATCAACCTGAATTTTCTATTCCTAAAAATTCAAGTTATGTTTGTGCTACGTTGAATAAAAAATCCTTTGTTTTAAGTGAGAGGATTGCAATCACATCGTCATTTCGTTCTATTGGAAAATTAATCTCTCCCAATTGAGTATTGAATAGGCATAGATTTTTCCAGACTAAAATAAGTATGCGAATGCTGGCAATACCATTCCTTGTTTACACAGAAAATATTAATTCTTAGAACCAACAAAATGTATTCTTGGGCCAATAATTTTTCGTTTCAAAGCATTGAGCAAATGTTTGAGACTATTTTACGTTTCTATTAGTGTAAGATAATTTTTATAATAAACTGTGAATGCAGGATGAAGTTTTTTTGCTTACATCACTCGTTGAAACTCCATCGAAGACCTTAGCAACGAGCTCGTGGTGCTCATGATCAAGTAAAAATAATGAACATCTTTCGGCGTTTGTTAGTTTCCTGGCTTTAACCATTATCTCCCTCAATAAATCAGGCAAGTCACCCAAATGCATGAAGAGTTTTCTAGATACAATGAGGAGATCCTGACACTGCAGTTTTAATCGTGTCTCCTCTTGACACCTCAGGGTACTCAGCAAGAGTCCGAGGCAGTACCTGCAATACATCAAATTCATTCAAATCAATCAATCTCAATTGCACGACTTATGATGTCCAAGTACAGTAGAGACTTCGTATAAGATACCTCTCTATAAGATACCTCGTAATCCGAGCGCTTGAGGCCTACCCCCACTCTCGGTACTTTTATCGCCTCCCGAGGGTTTATGTGTCGTGGGCTTCTTATAAGATACCTACGGCCCCGGTCATTTTTCATCGGGAAGAGAGTAGTTATGAGGATCAAACGGTGTTAAGGGTCAAACGGGAGGGACGAACGAAGTGATCATGAGGGTCTAATGACCCTAAGGGGGGGTCACACCACTTTTTTCAAGTAATGGAAACGTACATCGATTTTTTTTTCACTTTTCCCATCGAAAAATCGTAATTTTTCGTCTGTGATTATTCTCGAGTCCACCAACAATCCCCCAACATCAGCTGCCATTCTATCACGCGGGGTTATGTTTAGAGAGAAAAGGGAACGCGAGCGATACAAATTCAAAACATTAAACACATATAAATTGATTAGTTATCGATATTCATTCAGTAAAAATGAAAATTTCATTGAATTTGGGCGCAACGAGCGAGGTATCTTATTTGAAGCCCGCTGATCCCTATTTTTCTCCTCTCTATGGGCGCGCGTAGTGGGGGCATAGGAGTTCCCGGAATTCCACTCTCCTACTGTCCCTAAGGTATCTTATACGAAGCCTCTACTGTACTTTGGCTATTTTTTCTCCAGTAAAATGCCTTTCTACTTTTGAAGTCGAACATCAGAGCTATCGTTCGAGCCCCATTTGACCCTAAGTTATCAGACATTTTACAATGATTTTATTATTTAGACATTACAGGTCTGAATTTGAATCTCGATACTGAATCGTTAAAAAACATTTTAAAAATATGAAAAAAAATTTGAAAGTTTACTTTTGGAGGAAGACAATATCTTTGACCTTGATGAGTCTATCTTGAGACATCATGAGACTTTTTTTTATTCCACGAAATTCTCCGAAAAAATATCTTTCATTTTTTCAAAAAAGGCCCCGCAAATTTTCATTTTTTAGATTTTATATGATGGCTTTGGAAATACATTTGTTTTATTGGTTTGAAATTGGATCAGAGAATTGATTATTTACCTGAAGCACTCCTCGATGATTTTCGTACACTTCTCCTCGATGTCTTTGTCATTCGGATAATCAATTATACAAACAACTAGGGCAATGTGTTGTTTAACTGGGTGCTTAATTGGTACACTCAGAAATCGGTCTGGCACTGGATCAATAACAGAGTACAAGTGCTGGAGCAATTCCTGATCTAACTCGATAGCACTGACTGTCAACGATCTTCGGGTCTTCACGGTTTTGTGGAGTATGTGATTACAAACCTTTGAGAGAAATCATTGATTAATTTCTTCAATCCAATGAGCAAAACCAATTGCTTCATGAATTATTGGGGCGAGGAGATGAGTTTCTAAATTTCGTGAAGATTGATTTTTGTGAATTTCCCGAGAACTAGTGGATTTTATGGAGAACAAAAATGGCTTCCTGTCATATATCTTAAATATAATAAATCTGTTGCCCATTCTTTGGCCGATAGTTCAGGCCTCTAATTTTTGAGCTGCCGCGGGTTTTTTTTTCAAAATTTTTGAAGTAATGTGTACAATAACGCAGCTAATTTCTTTTTTTTTAATACACAAATTAGCGCCATTCGGGTGAAATAAGCAGAAAAAATATCCTCAAACTATTTAAAATATATTCTCGATTCTTTCAGAAACATTTTGCGGGCTATTTTACATAAATGGTCCATTTTTTGATTAAAAAAACAAGAAATTAGCTGTGTCGGAGTTGAATTTCAAATATCTAATTCGTAATTGTTATTGCACATATTTTTTCAAAAATTTTGAAACAAACAAAACCTCTGTAGCTCAAAAATTGTCGACCCTGGACTATTTTTTTTAATATTTCAAACGTCTGCGGGGCAAACGAACAATAAACAATTAATTTGTTGCACTATCTATTCGGTTTTAGATATACATAATCGATCTTCAATGTAAAATGACAAGTATCCTCGTTCTTTTCATTAAATAATACCTCAAATTAAATTTAACTAAACACTAATAACAAAATCAAACCAAATTCAAATAATAAATCCAATTGAAAATTATATCAGTCTTGAATTAAACCAAGCTATTAATCACAAAAACAAGAATAAATCCTTCAATTCCGGCCAAATTAATAATAAATAAACAATCATCTCACAGTAGTAAATTTTTCTGAGTGAGCTTAATTGTTAGCTCAGGAGTATTACCTGTTCGATGCAACCCTAATACTTTTCAAGATATCCAAAAATCGATTTTCCGTTACGAGTTTTTCGCAAATATCTAAAAAACAATTCGATTAATCAAAAAAAGTCAAAAAACATTTTTTATAGTCCACGAAATGCCCTACAAAAAAGATCTGTTGATATTTTTTCCAAAATCCATCTATTCCCCAGATATTTGCGAAAGTAAATCTGGAAACTCATTCCCTCATTCTCCCACCACCTTCAGTTCATTTCAGGGATGTATAAATGTTATTTCTACAGTTCCTACGGGGTTTATCGATTGCATTGGTCACAGTTAATTGGATTGATGCTAGATAATTGCTGAAAAGACAGAGGAAGCAGGAAAAGCGCAGAAACAATTGATTAATCGTGCAGCTAATGAAATAATGAAAACGAAATTGAGAGCAACAACGTACACTGTACTTCCACGAGGCTAAGCTTACTTTGTCTACACTCTCCGACTATCTGAACTGGAGATAAAATACAAATACGAGTTAGATAATAGGTGCGTGTAAAGCACAGCCAAGGGTTTTAATTGATTGGTTAATTAATTAATTACGTTTGACTGGCTTACTGGAAACCTCAGACCTCTGTCCAGTATTTTTTCACCCACAACGTTGATTACCATCTCCTCAGTTTCGGGGAGAATTGGGGCTAGGAATGATAATTTTGCTTGAGTTTTTGATTGAATCTGCAACAAAAATGGACAATTTTCTGTTATTAACATGATTTTAATTAGCGGGAGACTACTAGTTTTAAAAGTCGCGGGCTATTGGAGTGAGATTTCTCATACACTGATAGAAAAAATTGTTTTTATTGAGATGTTTCTTTCTTGGAACAAGTGTTATATACTTGAACCAATTCATAACTTTTTCAGTCTCTCAACATTTGGTGCAACTCATTTAATTTCAGCATATATAGATAGTGTTCTCTATTGTTTTGTTTTGTTTTAATAAATATTATCATCATCAGTAACCAACACTAAGCCTTCTCAGAAAAAATGTGAACGTTATGTACAGAAAAAGAAATTTATGTACTAAAGGAAATAAAATTATTAATTATTACTTGAACCAATTTCAAATAAATAAGAGCTTACGGTGAATATCAATTATTTTTTCTTGAGATACATTTACTTGAATCAAATAAAACAGTCCTCGGCGTCAAGTCACATGTATTCACCACGAAAATGGAAAATTTCTATTTGTTTTAACCTAATATAATCTCCAGTCGAGAAATTTTCTACTTTCATGAATTGATGAAAAATTCGTACCTAGGAGATGATTACATTGAGGAATAAATTGAATGTTGTTTTCTCGAATGAAGCCGATGTTTAAATTGAGCTTTCCATACATCACATTGAACGAAATTTGTGACATCCAAGTTTGTGTTGAATTGCCGTAATCTGTGGTTCTGTTATTGTAAACTAATGCGATTTTTTTTAGTCAAAAAATATAAACTTCTTTCAACTCAACGACGTCTTACTACAATCTCAAAGCTCTTTCCGCGTAACAATATTCATCCTGATTCAACATACGAAATGCTCACTTCAATTATAATTTACTTGGAACAACGTATGATCGTGTTCATTGAGATAACAACGTATTAAGTCATGAGAATAATTTTAATTTTTGAGTGAACCAACGAATTTCTGGAGTTGGCAAACTTTTGGCTAGAAAAAAATCAAAGACTCTCATTATTGCGAGAAATAAAAAAAGGCCGTGACTATTCGCTCCATTGCGTGAATCACTCCCGTACACTCCATACCTCCACGCATGCGTGAAGTTTGTGTGTTTCACGCAGCCGAATTTTCATACTGCTGTGTATTTCACGCAGTTGAAGTTTCATACTACTGTGTGTTTCACGCAGTTGTATTTTTATACTACTGTGTGTTTCACGCAGTTG